TCTTTGATAACTTTCCAATCTCTCCATTTCTCTCTCCTCCTTTTTTTTGGAATTCCTGTGAGTTGGACGTTGGCCCTTTCCTGCTGATCTACTCTAATTTTTCCTTCCATCTCTTTGCCTTTTGTTGAAATCTCTGGTAGACCTCCTTGGCTTTTCAAGTTTTTGGTTTTACGATTGTGTGTTAATTTCTAAGAGTTCTTTCTGGTTCTCTAGTAATCTTTCTCCCCACCGCCCCATCTTGTTCTAACTTCATAGGTGCAAATATCTTGTTCCCCTGAGATTATGTGCAGGTCTCTTGTTTTAAGTTTCCCGTGGTTTTCTCTGGACTGGCTCTGTTTCTTCTGAGTTCCCCTTTTCTGATTATTTTCTGCCTCTCACACTGGAGACGTTCCTCAAATCTCTGCCGGTCCTGCTGGTTCTTTGGGTGTGGGTAGGTCTACGTTCACCAGTCCCTTGCCCAGAGGCCCCCAAATGCCATGTGTAGAATGTGGGGTCATCTATGTGATGGGCAGTGGGTGTGGCGGGCATGTCTGGGTGATGGTGCCCTGGGGAGGGGGTCTGGTGCCGCTGAGTGGGGAGACCCTGGTTCAGGTTCACACACGTGCACACACACAGGGTAAAGAAAAGTGCTTTAGACCTTAGGAGGGAATGCAGTTTCAGAATCAAGTTTTATAAAAGTTAATTAATTTTGCCATGTATTCTGCAGTCAGGCCTTTGATCTTTTCTCTGCTTCCCTCTAGACAGTTCTTGTATTTCAGCCACATTCTTTAATAATAAACATTGACTTTTCTCTCTGCAAATTAAAAAGGAGCATTTAAAAATGCACCGTTTGTTTAAGTTTTAAATTACAAATGAAATGAGTAGCCATAAAGCAGAGGTGTGTTTGAGAATAATGGAAGGATGACATTGATGGAAGTCACCTTCATCTGAGTTCTCTCCAGCTTTACAACTGCCAATGCCTCTCCAGGTAAACTCGTGGGAACCTCGCGTGACCACTCTCCCAGGATCAGCAGGTGGGATTTCACTCCAATCACCTTCCAGAATTTCGGATCAGGAGTCCGAACGGGAGTCGGTTACCGAAAGCACGAAAACCCGGATTTTTGCAGAATGATTTTATTCGTTGCGTGTATAACTTGGACCTACTGTTGTCTGATAACTTTCAAACGCGATGTTATTCCAGAAAGCGAATATGTTTTGTTGACCTTTAGAATGAATAGTGAAAAATACAAAATTTTGATAATCTCATCACTGATCATGAACGGAAGCAATTGATCAGGCGGGGAGGGCTTTGGCATTTTAAGAGACTGTAAGTAAACTTTGAATAATCTATTTCACCTTTTATTCTCAGGATGGCCTAAAGGTTCACTGCAATAAATACATGCCTCTCATTTTGGTAGAAATGGGAATTTTGTGTCTATATAAAAATAGTCGACGGAAGGTGCAGCAGAGGAGAGACCTTTGCTGTTTGGAGGAACAATCCCCCGCAAATATGCACTTAGATAATGATGGATAACCAGCCCAAGTTACAGCACGTTTACATTGTCTAATTTTATCAGTTTTGCTGACGACTCTGAGCTAATATTCCCTTTAAGTTCAGAGCTCCTTAACTTCCACTCTCTCAAAACTCCACAACACAGGTAATAACAGACTCTGAATATCTCATTTGCTTTATTCCTCAACATACACCAGCCCCAGAATAATAATACCCACAGCATGATGATCGGGAAAGGTCTAAGATCCATCTCTCTTTCTCATCGTTCTTTTGGTCCTCGGGTATTTTCCCCAGGAGTGACTTTCAAATTTCCATGTTTCCAAGTCACTTGAGATAGCTCCCCTCTGGTCGGTCAGGCCTCCAAAAGGATATACACATGGTTGGTTCTATTTTATTTTTGACCTTTAGGGATTGATTTTTAAAAGTTAATTTGTTTTGTAAGTGAGTGAAATATTTGCACGGTTCCAAAGTGAAACCTTTAAAACAAGGCATGTCCAAAGATGGTGGGTTTCCATCTCAGGTCTTCCTGCCCCCCCCACAATAGGTATCCTATTGCTTATTTTTAAAATATGGATAGATAGAAGATAGATAGATGATAGATAGTTGACAGTTGATAGATTATGATAGACAGATGATAAATAGTTGAATGGTTGCTGATTGATAGCTGGATTATGCTAGATAGATACATAGTTGATAAATGGTTGATAGATTATGATAGATAGCTGATAGATTATGATGGGTAGATGACAGGAAATTATTGAACAGCTGTTGATTGACAGATGGGTTATGATGATAGATGGGTGGCTGGCTGCCTTCCTATCCCCCACCTGTCCTGGACAAGCTGTAATGCACGCTTCGCGCTTCCCTCCCCCTTGCTCTGTCCACAGAGATCTGTGTGATCGCCCAGCGCCACCCCTAGGGACCGACCTCCTGCCTCTTCCCAACTGCCAGCTACTCCTCCATGTGGATGAGTGACAGTAATTCACCCAGGGCCCCATCCCTGGGGATTTGGGTCGCTTTCACTGTTTTGCTTTCACAAATTGTATAATATTTTAACAGAAATGTGTTTTCAATGGGAAAGTACACCAGATGGAATTAACAGCAGAAGTTTTCAGTGCATCACTGAAAGCCCATGAAAACAGCCCAGACAGGAAGAAAAAACACAGTCGTGCTGCCGCTGACACAGGCCAGGCAGACACGGTCCTGGGGACACGTTTGTCTGTTTAATTCCCACAATCCTGAGAAGTCGGGACCCTCAGTTCCACCTTCCTCCTTCTACAGAGGGAGAAACTGAGGCAAGAGAGCTCATTCACCCGCTGGGAGGTGGCGAGGCAGGACTGGCCACCACGGGCAGCCCGAGCACCACCATGCTGCCCGCTGTAGGCCAGTCTGATGGACCCTGGGGGCCAGAGCGAGGCCACGGCCACCCTTGCCCACACGGTGCCCGGCGTAAAGCTGTGCACCACGAGGTTCTGCCGAGTGACCGGCAGACCGTTTGGCTGGGAACCTGATTCCCCAGCGGCCGCCGTTGCAATTCCCACGCTCGGCCCGCAGGTGGCAGAAGTCCACCTTGCCGAGACGCTCCCTTGAGAACTTGGTAAAGCCACCTGGGTGTGTGTGAGAAGTACCCAAGGACGATTCCTTTCCAAATAGACGTCCTGGGGAGGAAGTCTTGGCTGGTGAGGGCTGATCTGGAGCAGCGATAGGAGAGACCCTGCAAGCGACGTGCATGCAGGACCCAGGCCCTGGGGTGGGCGTGGCTCAGGGGCGAGGGGCGAGGGGCGGGGGTGGGGCGGGGGAGGGGGAGGTGGGAGGCAGGGGTTAGCCTCCTCCTGGCTGTGTGAACATCTGTGTACAAGGTTTGTTCGAATTCCCGTTTTAAGTTCTTTGGGGGGATACTCCTAGGAGGGAAATTGCTAGATTATATGGTAATTCTTTGCTTAACTCTTTGAGGACCTTCCAGACCGTTTTCCCATAAATACCTTTCAAGTTGTTTGATTCTAACTTAACAAACAAAACTTCCGGGCACTTCTTTGGGCCTAGGCACACTGAGATACTAAAGGTACGTGTGGGGAGGACGTCTGGGGACTTCCTGACCTAGGGAGCCCGTGCTGTACCACCCAGGCCCTGGGGGCTCTGGAGGCCAGCCAAGCAGATCCTGAGTCACCGAAATCACCAAGGGTGAGTGTCAGCAGAGAGATGACAAAGCCCCCAGCCTCCCGCATGACTCTGAGGGGCTGCCGTCCGGGTAGAGTGGGTCAGTGCTGTTGTAGACAGGAAGGGGAGGTGGTGACACTGAACAGAAAGAGGTGAAGGCAGGTGAGGCCCACCGAGGATTAGGGCCAGAGTGTCCCAGGACCAGGAGCCACACAGAGGGGCTGGGGAAGAAAGGCCAGTGGCTGGGACAGACAGGGGGTGGTGATCAGTGATGAGCCAGGACAGGTGGGCAGGGCAGCGTCAGACATGGGCCTCTGCCCGGGGAGGCAGAGAGGCTGCCCTGTCCCCTCGGGGCCCAGAGTGGAGGAACCAGGTATTAATCAGCAGACCCCTGGTAAACACGATGATACACCCAGCCACGTGCCTCATGAGCTTGTAACAGAAGTATGTGACCGGGAAAACAGAGAGATGCGCTGAGTGGGAATAAACCAGGCTTCAGCTGAACTTCCCAGACAGAGAGGACAGCTTGTGCAAAGGCCCTGGGGAGCCTGAGTCAGAGGACCTGGGAGAAGCAGGGTGGGGGAGGGCCACCCTCCAAGGACAAGAGCAGCGGAGACCAGAAGATGAAGCTAGAAAGGCAGGCCCATTTCCAAACTAAAACAGTGAGGTGGGTTTTGTGTTTTCAGAACATCAGCTGCAGTGTGAAGACTGGAGAGGGAGGAGCTGTAATGACCCCGCTGGGAAATGGCCCCGGGGCTGGCATGGGAAAAGAAGTTCCCTCAGGAGGTTGTCAGTAGGGAAGAGCTAGTGTCTTGGTGATCAGACCGTGCAGACATTTCTCCCGGGGATGGGTACAGACTGAAATCTACATGCTAATTGTCAAAATTGGTGAAAATTATAAATCAAGCTAACAAAATGTTAAATAAAATGTAATAAAATGTATTCAGAATTAATGGAGGCAGAATTGCAGCAGTGAACAAGTTATGTTCTTTCAGCAAATAGCGTTCAAATCATGCAGAGAATTCTCAAAAGCAGCCATGCAGGCTGCTGCAGGAGTTGCAGCTCCAGGAGAGCAAGGCCACCTTCCTAGGGAGGAGCCTGCCGGGCAGAAAGGGGGCAGGGCTGGGAGGAGCCGCCGGGAGGATGGGGGAGGGGAGAGGGGCCAGGAGGGGGCGGGGAGAGGGCGGGGAGGAGGAGGGAAGGGGGAGGAGAAAGAGGGGCAGGGTGGGGAGGAGGCGGGGAGGGGGTGGGGAGGGAGGGGAGGGGCGGGGCCGGGAGGATGCCGCCGAGTGGCCTGGGCTCCGCTGGCCCCTCCCTGTGGGCCGCTCCAGCGGGAGGACATTAAAGGCGCTGGCTTCGTTCTGGACCCCGGGAACACCGTCAGCTTGGCTCCGGAACCTAGGTGAGCCGTTCGCCTACGAAGGCTGTGTGAGGGGGCGCACTGCTCCCAAGGAGGGGACCCCCAAGGAGGACAAAGATAGGTTTAAACCCACGGAGCAGACACACGTCCCAGAAGCAATAAACCACCGACACTGTTTATCCATATCCTGGTGCCTGCCATGCGCAGTCCTTGGAGCCCGACGCCATCCTGAGGCAGGGACCCCCACCCCCACCCCCCGCCCTCAGGGACCGGCAAACTCATCCAGAGTCAAGGCGCCGGGACCCTGCCCCCTGAGAGTCCTCGCACCTGCCTGTCCTTGGCCTGCAGGGTCGTCCTGACCGCACGGTGGGACGGAGAGGCAGTTCCCGGCCCCTCGTCGGCTCGCGGGGTCAGCGCGCCGTGCTAAATGGCCACGTGGAGGGTGGGCATCCCATCGCAGCCGGGCACAGCCGGAGGGACCGCCTATGAGATGCGCAGGCCGAGGACCCGAGGGAGGAGGAAGCGGACCTAGGAATTCTTAGGGAGAAGGGCCAGCAGCATCCCCGGGGTCGCGCTCCTCTCTGCCCCTTCCGTGCTCACCAGCGCTCCCGGGCGCCACAACTACTGAGCCGGGGCTCTAGAGCCCGCGAACCACAGCTGCTGAAGCCCGTGCGCCTAGAGCCCGTGCTCCGCAGCAAGAGAAGCCGCCGCAGTGAGAAGCTCGCGCACCGCAACGGAGAGTAGCCCCCGCTCGCCGCAACTACAGAAAGCCCGCGCGCAGCAACGAGGACCCAACGCAGCCAAAAATAAATAAATAAAACAAATTTTTAAAAAGAAGTTTTCAGTGATATAAAAATTCTTGACACTGTAGTGGGTTCAATCATTTCAGCGAATGTGAATGTTTACAAAATTATAGATAAGGTTTCTCTGTTTACTAAGAAACTTGCTATAGCTCATTAAGATGCAAAATTCAATCCAGTATGCATTTTCTTATGTAATAGTCTAATAAGATTTATTGTATTTGAAAGCTAACGTTAAAAGTTTTGAAATTCAATTGTATATGCTTGATCTCATATATAAAACGGCATGTTAGGAATTTTTTTTAAAGCTTACAAGTGCTAAAACATCTACAGTTTAAAAATGATGCATCTTTATATTTTGTGCCTTTTAAGTGACTTGCTGTGTTGATTTTAAATCTTTTCACCTAGTTCGTCGCTGTTACTTGCCATGTATTTAGGTTAAATATTTGCACAAGAAAATGACTATAAAAAATTTCCTTTAGACTCCTTAGTCTCATATCTTATATCTTCTATATGTAAACCATCTTTGGAGTTTCTTAGATGGCCATGCAGTAACCATGAAGGTTTATCTCCTCACACGGTAAAATAAACAATGCTAAAATAACCATTAAAATATTGAAACTATAACTTCTTAAATCAGTGATTTGTTTTATTTTATTGAAGTATAGTTGATGTAAGTTACAGGTGTACAACATAGTGATTGACAATTTTTAAAGGTTATACTCCATTTATAGTTATTATAAAATATTGGCTGTATTCCCTGTGCTGTACAATATATCCTTGTAGCTTATTTTATACATTACAGTTTGTACCTCTTAACCACCTACCCCTATATTGCCCGTCTCCCTACTGGTAACTACTAGTTTGTTCTCTATATCTATGGGTCTCTTTCTCATTGGAAGTTACTTTTATACTTGGAAATGTCAACCTTACCCGCCAACGACCAATGACCATTAACATAAATAACGATTACTCTCCTATAACCCCACAGGGTCTGGAACCCACCTGTCTTCACGATTCCTGCAAGGGACTTTGTTTTCCTTGTACAGATTAAAAACCTGACCCTCAGAGTGGGCTGAGTGGCCGGTATGAGGATGCTAGTGAAGTTGGAGGCCAGTCTGCCCCGCTGTGGCCTGGATCTTTGGACCCATCCTCCTGCAGCTGGGGGCTCCTGGGGGCCCAGGAGCCCAACGCTGAGCCTGCTGCAGACACTCCGTAAATATGTGTCGAGTGGAGCAAGCAGGTGATTAAAGAAATGAAACTGGTGTGTTTTATTGCTAGACTGGTGTGGACTGTTAGTCACCGATGCCGCCGAACTTCCTGTAGATGAGACTCTGGATGTGAAAGCAAGTCTAGAGAAAGGTGCCACAAACAGCACCGATGACTCATTTTCTACTCAGTTTGCTTTTTTCCCACCAAAATAATGACCATGTTTATATATTTCAAGGTATCTTTATATATTTTAAATCCAATTATTTTTAAAATGTTAGTTTAAATGTTAGTTACATTTGCCACAAACAAGCTTGAAATAACCATTTGCCACTCCAGTCTCAAGGAGACCAACTGTGATTTCAAGATTATATGGAAAAGGACGCGGCTGCCTGATCTTCCCGAGGCCCTGGAACAAGCACTGTCCTGTTCCAATGTGTGAGCACCCGCGGAAGAGAAGCCCCGGGAGAGAATGGGTTCAGTTACTGGCTGTAAAATTCGATTACGTGCCCAGGGGAAGGTAAGGTCTGTGGAAGCTGAGTCTGAGGCTTCTATGTGCTGGCTAAGATCAACCTCTCCTTTTCCGTGACTAACATAAAAATACAGATGACGTCATTAGAATGCTCCCGCATCCCGCCCCCATTATTCATCTCATTTGGCCAAAAATAAATCTTCCTTCACTGCACAGTCTACACCGATGAGTGTTTTTTTAGGCGTAGAAATTCGCAATTACACTTCCCGACCTCTGACCCAGATATCTTTCCAAGAGCAGGTTGCATTCAGGCTGGGAATTTTTTTTTTCCTCCCAAAGGTGGAAAAACATCTTCTCAAATGGTCTGTCCTACAAGTGAAAAGAAGCCCTACTCTAGGAAAGAACGGGAACTCCTGCTGTCTTTGGAATGCACTTTAGATTTGCTGTCGGGGTAACTGGAAAAAAAAAAATGTTACTCTCAAAGTGGAAACTTCGGTGTAAAAAAGCGAAAGGTGGATCTCCAGGAAATTACGCTGAGTGCAAAATGCCAATTCCAAAATCTCCCACGCTATGCGACTCCTGTGTGCAAACATAATGTATTTTGAAATAACACAATTTTAGAAATAGAAGAAAGATTAGTGGCGGACGGGGCTTGGGAGTTCTGTTATCAAAGGGCCACGGGAGGGGTTCTCACGTGATGTAATGTCCCATAAACTGTAGTGACAGATACACGAACCTACATCGGTGATCGCATTGTATAGAACTTCTTACTCACTGACAACGACAAATAACATTGGGGAAATCTGAATAAGACCGGTGGATTGTATCAAAGTATCTACTTTTTTCTTTTTTGGCAAAGTTTTGCAAAGTGATAGCACTGGGGAAGCATTTGGCGGAGTGAATTATTTTTTACAACTGCATATGACTCTACAATCATCTAAACACACGCGCACACGTAGGTCAACAGCCGCCCGCGGCGCCCGGGCGCTTTCTCACGCAGAGCACACGGGGAGACAGCGCTGGGTCCTCACCGGTCTTTGGGTCTTTTTGCTGCGACCTGGCCCGGGGGGCGGGGCGCGTTGCGGACGTGACGTCAGTGGGCGGGGCGTGCACCTGGGCACCTGGGCTGCCGCGGCGGCGCGGAGCTGCGGCTAGACGCGCGCCATGGAGGGCGAGAGCCGGAGCCCGTGGGCCCTGGGGCTGCTGCGCACGTTCGACGCGGACGAGTTCGCGGGCTGGGAGAAGGTCGGCTCGGGCGGCTTCGGGCAGGTGTACAAGGTGCGCCACGTCCACTGGAAGACGTGGCTCGCCATCAAGTGCTCGCCGAGCCTGCACGTCGACGACAGGTCAGCGGCCCGGGCGGGGGCGGCGGCGCTGGGGCGGGCGGCGGGGCCCGGCCTCACAGCGGCGCGCGGCGGCGGGCCGGGGCCGGGGCCGGGGTGCTTGGATTCCGGGCGTTCCCGTTCTCTCCACCTGAGTCGCCTCGGGAGCAGCCTCGGAAGGAGAACCAAGCGCCGGGCGAGGCCGTGAGCCCCCGGCGGGGTCTGCGCCTTTTGCTCGGCCGGAGGGACGTTGGGGGTGGTTTGGCGAGCTCCGGGTCTAACTGCTCACGCCGGTGCCCGGGGCTGCGGCTCCTACGGGGAGCCTCGGGAAGCCGCGTTTGCCTAAGACGGTGTTCAGCGCCCGGCATTGTTACCTGGCTTCCGGTGAGCCCCGGATTTTCAGGGTCGCGGGCTCACCTTGCGCCTTGGACCCGCGCCCCTCGGAGGCTCGTCCGTCCCGCCCAGGACCCACCCGGGCGCTGCGGTTTGCGCCCGGCTTAGAAAAAGTGCCGTGTGGGATCTGTGCTTTGTGAGTTAGTTAGACTGCGTTCGACTTACTTAGTAATTTACTTTGGAGCACAAATTGGTGTAAGACGGTAATTATTTCGGTCGGAAGCCCTGGCTTGGCTTGGCCAGGCCTCCTCGGCGCCCGGGCACTTGAGCGTCGGCGTTACCCGGCTTGGGCCTGGCCGTGGGGTCCGGCAGGCGGCCCGGGGTGCCAGGTTCCAACATTCAGCGCTCTCTGGCCGTACCCTCTCGTTTTAGCTGACTTAATTTAGAGGCCGAGCCTCTGCGGAGCGGCCTTGCACTTATGGTTGGACCATGGTGCCCTCCTGGACCCCAGTTTCCCCATCCCCAAACTGGGAGGCCACCTGCCTGTCCCTCGGTAACAGAGGTGCTCAAGTTAAAGAAGACGGTTGGAAAGGACCGGAGCTGCCCCAGTTAAATTCGGTCGGTGGATTGTGGTCTGTGTATATAATTTTAGGGGTGGGGTGGGAGGAGGGTCTTGAGAAGTAGCTCTTTTGGGGTGAGGGGTGTTCACTCTTTACGGTTGCGTTTTAATAATTTATAAGCTTCGGTTGAGCGCGTTTAAATTGCCTATCCTTTGGTGACGTTTGCGTTCTACATGGAAGGTGTGTGGTATTTTGTGTTCTGTGTGGAGAGCCCGCTGTAAGTCAGCCCCGAACAGACACAGACTCAGAAAAGCAGCTCCTTTGCTGCCTCAGAGACCTGGTTTCTAATCCTCGGCTTCTTGAATGCTGGGGCCTCCAAACTCCAGCTTTTCACCCCCAGAATGGTGGTGTGCGTGTCCCTGGACTGAGGTGCACAGAGGATTGCAGCGTGTGCCCCCTCAGGTCCCGGAGGGGAGGAAGCCCCCGCGCACTTAGTGGCTTTGTGTTTTCCTCCTGGCCTGGGAGGTTATACAGCAGAACTGTTGGTGGCTTTTTGCTCTAAGCCTCGAGCACAGTGTCTCTTGGAAACTTCAGTAGAGTGGTGGCGAGTGTCACGCAAATATCACTAACGCGAAGGGGAGCTGCTTGTGAGGCTGTGCTTCCCTCGGATCCCAGGAACTTCCTAGGCCGGGAGGGGCGCCCTGGCTGTTTTGCTGAAATCCAAACCTCTTTGAACGCCGGTCCCCAGTTAGAGCCTGCAAGGCGCGACTCTTGCCGGTGTGTGGGTGTTTTTACGCTCTCGGGACGTTTATTTGCCTGCTGGAGTCTTCTGGCCGAGTTTTCTTCATCAGCCGCAGGCTTTAGCACCAGCGTCCTGTATCGGAGGAGCCTAGTAAACAAGCACGTCCCCGGGCTGACTCAGCAGCCCGCACCCTCAGGGTCTGTTATTTCCAGCGACCAGGCCCTTGTTTCTTGGGTGGCCCAGGTGGAGGTGGGGTTTCTCCACGTGAGGCGGGCCACTTAGGAGCTTGCCTTGCCTCGTTGCAAAGCTTTTTGTCCTTTACGTGGAAGGCTTTCCTGCCCTGCCCCAAATAGGCAGGTGGTGGCATGTACTGGACAGCTGGGTAGAGGTCAGCATTGCCCAACAGGAAGAGATTCACCTCTTGCACTTTGCTAGGCTGGGCGGGGTCGGCTGGCGCTCTGCGTTAGCGGCAGGAGCTGGGCTCTCTGACTGAGACGGTGGTCACACCCCTGCTCCCTGTAAAGAAGAGTCTTCTAGGTTCATTACTGACTCTCTCTGGCTTGAGACGCCCATTAGGCGCTTGTGTCGCGCCCGCTGTGGTGCAGAAGCAGCTGCCTGCCCTGCGGCATTGCCTCTAGGCCTGGAAATGGCTGCTGGGCTCCCCATCCTCCCAGGTTTTGGCAGGTGGCCTCGGTGCTCTTTTGATGAGCTGCCTGCCACCTTGACCCTTCTATTTGCGAGATGCTCCCTGGAGTGGGGAATAAGATTCTACTGGGGGTCCTAGGTGCAGCCCTCAGCCCCAAACCCCTCCCGGCTAAGCCTCGTCTCACCTGTTTGAAGGGTGGCGCCTCTCACCCCTGCCGTGAGGGCCTGACCTTTTCTTTCCCGGGGCCTCCTGCACTGGTTACATAGGGACCCACCGCCAGTACAGGTGTGGGTCCTTTTCATCGCCTGCTTCTCCCTCCGGGCAGGCCCCAGTCTTCATGCCACCCCTTGACCACAGCAGGGCCCCAGCGTGCACCCCGGGCCCTCAGAGCAGCAGGCTGCCCCAGGCCACGTGAGCAGGTACTTCTGGGTGGGGAAGGTCAGGGGCTGCCCGGTCCCAGACACCCCTTGGAGTTCCCAGAGAGCAGAGAGACACCTGCCCAGGGGCTTCCAAGGGGCACCCCCGGGGAGTTCCCAAGTGACACCCCATTGATCTGCACTCGCTCTCCTTATGGGCACATCTGGGAGCTTTGGGGGAAGTGTAGCCACCCTGGCTGACCCTCATTGGGGATCACGAGGGTTTGGCCTGAGTCTAGCTGGGTGGGGGGGGCATTCCCATTTAGGTGAGAACTAAGCCTTGGAGGCCCGTTCCTCTGGCCCCCAGCCCCTGGCTCAGAGGAAGCCCAGGATAACTGAGCGCCTGCAGCTGCTGGAGCTTGGCCGCGGCTAGTCAGGGCGAGCCCGAGCAAACCCCGGGTGTGTAAGCACAGAGCTGACAATTGGACAAGCCCGGATCTTGTCAGTTTAAAAATAGCAGTGTGGGAACCCCTCGCAGGCTCCCTGGGGACATAAGTGGATTGGTGCGCAGCGAGAAGGCCTGGCTGGGAGGCATCAGTAACAAATGATTAAACCGTTTTCCTGCTGCCTTTTCCCACAAGTGGTTCCCAGGTTTCTCCCTCTGAGGAGCACTTTGTTACCGGGCACCCTTCCCTATAGCCCGACCCTTTTCCCCCTTCCCGTAGTTTCCTGCTACTCCTCTTTCAGCAGGCCTGTCCCAGGGCCCGTGTTCTCCCCCTTCCAAGGTCCATGCCTCCGGAAAGCTTCCCTCGCCCGCTGGATGTCTTTGGAATTTGTGGCTGGGCCTGGAGGAGAACCCCATTGCTTCTCCAGAAAGTGTCCTTTAGAAATAATCAGTCTGGTGAGATTCCTCATATCTCTCCCTACCCCGATGCCCTCCCCGGGGTGGGGGAGATACGCTTTAGCCAGCCTCAATTGGGAAGAAACATTGAATGGATGTAAGTGCTGTGGATAAAGTGTCTTTAACAAATTTTACCCCGACTTGGTCCTGTTAATGCCTAGATTTTCTATCTCCGACCAAGAGGGGCGGGGCAGGGGTGCTGTCCCCATTCCTGCCGGGAAACGGAATTAGCAACCCTTCCCCGAATGGGAGAAAGGAGGTGTGATGGGAACGATTACAGAGGAGAAATACGACGCCAGCCCCACGGAATCGTGCCTAATCGTAGACAGGCTCTTAGCACGTCACCATTCTTAGGTTGTATGAATGAAAACTGATGTCCGTGGACTCGGGTGGCCTGAAAGTCACTCGTCACTGGGTGGCGTGGGCTTTGATGCTGATGGTGTGGCTGTGAAGAGGCTGGGCTCCTGAAGCCCCCCGGCCCCCCTCCTGCACCTGGGCTCTGGGACCGGCTTGAAAATCGCTCAGGTGCTAAAGGGATAATAGTCATCACAGTCAATCCACCTCCAGTTCCCTTGTGCTGTTGTGGGCATAAACCGGGAACACCGCGTCGAGGAAAATACATTAACAAAAAATAATTGACACGGTGGTGGTTTCATTCTGGGTGAGAAGCACCTTCCCGTCTCCTCCAGCAGTGCCCGGAGAGGGCCCAGTCCAGGCTTATGGAATTGCTGATGCTGCCAGCTGCGAAGCTGGGGGGAGTGGGTACTGGAGGGTATCCTAGGGGCAGCTGAAGAAAGGCCCAGAGGATGGGGTGGCTTGGATTTCGGCTCAGTGGTTACGAGAATGTAAACGGGATGAACATTTTTTGTGCCGACCCTTCTGAACGCTACCAAAGAGGGTGGTTAGGGGGCCCGGCCAACCCACTCCCCAGGCCTGAGTGAGGGGCTCCCCGGGTGGGGGGGGTCCCCTGGAACCCCCTGCTGGGTGATCCCGGGACCTCCTTCCTCGCCCTAGGGATGCAGCCATGGCGGGGTCCTCGGCTCTTAGGCATTTCTGATTGAGCTGTCACGGAGAAGGTGATTTGTCCTGGAAACGAGGCCTTATCTTCCAGGATAGCTGGCCGTCCTCCACGAGCTGTCCTGGGATGCGTGGTCCGCGGGACCGAGCTGCCTGGTGTTGCTTCCGGAAAGGGTGCGGGCTGTCTGAGAACATTCCGGCTGTGGCCAGCTTTCTGGAGCAGACAGCTGCAGTGGCTCGCCCCCCCCCCTTTTTTTAAACTAAGGTAAATGGGCTCTCAGTGCGGTGGGGAGGGCCCGGGGCGGGGGAGAGAGCCGCAAACCTGCTGACCTGGGTGCACTGGGGTGGGGCTCTCCCGCCAGCTGCTCCCCTGAGTCTAGTGAGCTCAGCCGTCAGAAGTCACCTGGCTCTGACGTATGCAGCCCTTTGGGCGAATGGAGCCTCACTTAACGACACCTTCAGCTTCAGCGGCATCGACATCCTCCTCAGCTGTCGGTCCGGCTGCCTCTCAGAACGTCTGCTGAAAGCGGAAAAAAGCCATCCTTGTGAGTGGCCGGCCTGTAACTCCGGAACCTGTAGTGCCTGGAAGCCTGCGGGCCTGGAGGGATCCTCCCGTGGTCTCCCGGCGGAAGCGGGTCTCTGTCCATCCTGCGGCCGGACCCGTGCCAGGGCCACGTGGGCGCAGTGTGCTGGACTCACGCTGGTGGGGAGCGGCGGCCCAGCGGCCACTTTAACAGAGAATAAAGGCAGTGGGACCAGACAGGTCGCAAAACTGCTTCTTAAAATAGGAAACAGAGCGGCAGCGGTACTGATCCCCGCCATGACAGCTCGGGAGAGAGTGTTAGGAGTGTAGTTGAACTGGTTAGTGTAGGCGACGTGAGGTCTTCCCCGGGGAGGAGAAAGGAGATGGGCCCGAGGGCGCCGTTCTCTCTTCTTAACTGACAACCCTTATTTGAAATGTTGCTTGATGCAGCCCTTTCCTCTTTCAGATGTCCCTCGGGACCGGGCACAGCGCTGGGGTCTGCCTGCATGTCACCCTGGAACCCAGCAAGCACTGTGGCTGCAGCCGGCGCTGGCCGGCCTGGGCCAGGCACCTGAACCCACTCTTCAGCCCGGCCCGGGGACCTCCACGGGGGCTCTTGTGGACATCGTGTTTTCCATTCATTGGATCTTTGACCAGAGTGCTAAGAGAGCATGTCATGCTGAGCTCAGTTTTGTCCTATAGTCATGTCATGATTCACTCCTGATACCTGTCGCACTCTTTCCTGACGCCAGGGCAATTCTTTTGCTCCTTGAGCCTGTTCAGAGCCAAAGTCTTGATCCCCTTGCCCGCTGCCTGCCCCGCTCCTGCTGATTCCGTAAATGGGGAGCCACCCAGTGATTCCCAGTAGACGTCTAGGGTCATCCTTGCTACCTCCCTCTTCTCCACATCCAGTCGGTCACCAGGACTTAATGGTTCTCCCTCGAAAATGGGCCCTGCATCCACCAGCTTCCTCTCTCTGCACTCCTGGCAGCCGGGGCCCCGGTGACCACCCTGAGTGCCTCGTGGCCGCTCTGCCCCTGCTGCTTCCAGCCTGGGGCTCTGGTGTAGGAATGGGACAGACCTTACGAGCCCTCGCTGCTGCCCTCTGCCCACCTGAGTCAGGGACCCCCTTTATTAAACGTCCCCAGGTCCCTGTACTTCCCCTTCAAAGAACTTGGATTTTCAACTACACTTCTTTTTTTAGGGGTGATTTTCCACCTTCTCCCCTAGAAGGTAAATACCCTGAAGGCGCAAGGAAGGGGTCTTTTTCGTCCTCAGTTCTAACATGTAGAGGATGCTCAGTAAATACTTACTAATAAATGAATTTTAATTGGATGCAGATTAAAATTAAAGTAATTGCTGGGAGTACTTAGGTGGGTGATTCCAGACTGTAGGGGTTTATTTAAAAAAAATTTTTTTTGGCCGCACGGCATGGGCATGAGGGATCCTAGCTCCTCAAGCAGGAATCGAACCGGCACCCCCTGCAGTGGAAGTGCAGAGTCTTAACCACTGGACCGCCAGGGAAATCCCTTTAGTGGTTTATTTTAAATTTGGCTGAAAATGCGTGAGCTGTGTTCCAGTGGTTGTCAGGCTTAACTCTTGGCCTTTGGGGCTGGGTAAGTCTTTGCCCGGGGGGCTGTCCTGCGTGCTGCAAGGTGCAGGGTGGCGCTCCTGGCCTCTACCCACTGGATGCCAGCGGCGGTGCCCGATGTCCCCCGGAGGCAAAGTCCCCCCAGGGGAGAACCACTGGTCTGCACCCAGGGATCCTCTCCCTGAGACACCCGCCTTGGCCAGCGCTCACCTTGGGGAGGGAACTCCCCTCCCATATGCAGGGGCCGGACGCGCGGGCAGGGGTGCTGTGGTCCTGTCCAGCTGAGCCCACCGCAGGCAGAGCTGGGTGCTGCAGACCTTGGTAAACAGTGCGGCGTGGTTCCTCCTTGCAGGTGGCTTCCTCCCTGGGAAGTGTTTTCATACCTGTAAAGGAGGCCTGGGAGTGAGCTGCGGTCTCAGAGAGGAGGTCAGATCAGTAAGAAGCAGCCTCATTTCCGTGGTAGTTTCTGACTCTCCAGCAGGCTGGGAAGCAGGCGCAGGCGCAGTGGGGCGGGCAGATGCACCCAAGCTCCGGAAGAGCCCCCGTGGTGGGAGCGGAGCCGTCCTGGGTCCTGGGCCGGGGGGCTTATGTGGGAATCTGCATTCTCGGGCGGGGGGTTGGGGGGCCCTGAGGCTGCCCCGGCTGCTTCCTGCCTCAGTTCCCAGCTCCCATAGGCTGTGTGGTTCTAGACTCTTCCTTTAGGAGCTTCCTAGAAAGCGGGTTCCTGGCACCCACCTAGAGCCTGTTCTCCGGGAGTGGAGCCCGGGAGTCTGCGTTTCAGCCGTCTCCCGGGTGCTTTCTACGGTGGCCGTGGTTGAGAACAGGCCAGGCCTTGGCCTTGTGGGATGTGGCCTCTTTTCCTGAATGTACTCTGAGACTTTGACCCATCACGCTGACACCGACCAAGGCCCTGGATACCAGTCTGTAACGGCTGCACCAGGAAGTGGCCTTAGACCAGGGGTTGGCAGACTTTCCGTGAAGGGCAGAGAGTAGACCTTTGGGGCTCTGCAGGCCACGGGGTCTGCGTCGCAGCTACGCATCTCTGCCGCGAGTGCGGAGACAGCCTCCGCCCCGCTGGACGTGGATGGTGAGACTGCCATGCAGTCAGTTTCTTTACAGAACAGGGGCTGGCTGTGGACAGCAGCTTGGTAGTCGCCCAAAAGTTAAACACTGAAGTACTACGTGACCAGGTAACTCTCCGCCTCGGCACGTATCCAAAGGAGTTGAAAGCAGGGACTTGAACACCTGTGTGTATAAATGTACGGCATTAGTCACAGTAACCGGAAGGTGGAAACGACCCAAGGGTCTTGTCCATCAGCAGAGGAGCGGTAAACACAATGTGTGTGTTCATACAATGGAATCATGCTCAGCCGTAAGAGGAGTGACGTTTCGGTTTGTGCTACAGCGTGGATGGACCTGGACGACATATGATGAGTGAAATAAGCCAGTTACTAAAGGACGGATGCTACACGATTCCACGTATGTGAGATCCCTAGAGCAGGCAGGTTCATAGACGGCAAGGGGAAGAGAGGGTGGGAGCGGGGCCTGGAAGGAGGGGTTCCTGTTGAGTGGGCACAGAGTTCTTGTTGGGATGAAGACGAAGTTTTGGGTGGCGTGCGTGGTGTTGGTTGCACAACGTCGTGAACGGATATGATGCCCGTGAATTGCGCACTTGGGAATGGTTACGGCGATAGATAGTATGTTACGTACATTTTACTACAGTTTAAATAATGGTTTTAAAAAGAAGGTGGCTCTTGGGCAGCAGTCTGCAGACCCTGCTTTAGACCAGGCTCCGTTAATTGCAGCGTGGGGTTAGGGTTTAGGAATGATGGGGCCAGCCAGAGTGATGGGCTTCACAGAGAAGGGGGCTGGGCTCTCTGGATGGATAATTCGTTAAAGCTTTTGGTCAAACCTAAACGTCCCTTCCGTCATCCCAAGGGAAGGGATTGTCAGTGTGGCCTCGTCATCTGCAGCTCGGAGCCTGCATTGGCTCAGTGCTACCGGAGGGTTTTCAGATAATGATTGCAGGCTCTCTCCTCCCTGCTTACAACAACCCCACGACGCGTAGATGCGTTTGAATAACCACGGACTGAAGACATGGGAAGGCCTAGAATTTAATTATGTGACATTAAAGTGAGCTCTGTGTGTGTGTGTGTGTGTGCGCGCGCGCACGCACACATACGTGCCCTTGTACACGTGTACATGCATTTTAGTAATTTTCTCAGCCGTGTGGAGCTGCTGATCTCCTGGCCACAGTGCCTGTGCCTGTGTCCAGGTGACCACTACGCACACATTCCTCACGTCTTTGAACTTTTCCAGGGAGCGCATGGAACTTTTGGAGGAAGCCAAGAAGATGGAGATGGCCAAGTTCCGTTACATCCTGCCCGTGTACGGCATCTGCCAGGAGCCCGTGGGCCTGGTCATGGAGTACATGGAGACGGGCTCCCTGGAGAAGCTGCTGGCCTCCGAGCCGCTGCCCTGGGACCTGCGCTTCCGCATCGTCCACGAGACGGCCGTGGGCATGAACTTCCTGCACTGCATGGCCCCGCCTCTCCTCCACCTGGACCTCAAGCCCGCCAACATCCTGCTGGACGCCCACTACCACATCAAGGTAAGGACGTGAGGGGACCGGGTGGCCGGAGCGATGGATGCCCCGGGTGGGGGGCCGTGGGACTGGAACCTCAGGGCCAGCGAGGGGGCCGAAGAGGAGGTGGTTCCCTTGCGGGAAAGAACTCAAAGCAGAGGCCTCTCTCAGCATCAGGATCCCCAGTCTTGCCGTGTGTGGCTGGTAAAAACGCCACAGATGTGTAACTGGAAAATGGACTCTTATGAACAAGGGTCACGCCCCCAAGTCCTGGATCAGGACTCTAGGTTCTGGGCACCCCGGAAAAAGAGGCTGTGGGTTTGTGGATTCCGGTCTTACTGGCCATCTTACACAATCAGATTGAAGCGGACCTCGGCTCGGCCGTCTCCGTGTGGGCTGGGTCAGCCTGTTTCCCCTTGGTGGTTCCCAGGCTCAGGGTGATGGGAGTCTCGGGGTGCTCGGAAATGGGGGCTGCGGAGTGCTGTGGAGAGGGGCCCTGGAGGGACTCATTCTGTTCTCTTCCTTCAAGGCCTGTGAGTTCTGATTTTTTTTTTTTTTTTTTTTTTTTGGTGTTCGGCGGCCTGTGGGCCTCTCACTGTTGTGGCCTCTCCCGTTGCGGAGCACAGGCTCCGGACGCGCAGGCTCAGCGGCCATGGCTCACGGGCCCAGCCGCTCCGCGGCACGTGGGATCTTCCCGGACCGGGGCACGAACCCGCGTCCCCTGCATCGGCAGGCGGACTCTCAACCACTGCGCCACCAGGGAAGCCCTGATCTTTTTTCTTTGATAAGTTTATAAAGCAGCAAAGCACAAGGGATAATATAACTAAAATCGGGTGCCGTCCCCTTGGAACTGGCCCTTGTTAGTGTGGTAGGTTTGTGTTTCTTTGAAGATGTCTCTCCCTTGGAAGGCCATCGTGTCACACCGTGGGGGGCACTAGCCGTGGCTTTCCCACTCAGTGACATGGGTTCTAGGCTCGCCCACCTGCTGAGGTCACCCTGTCCCTCAGGAGGGCGGGTCAGGAAGGGCCACACGCCGTGGCCGGGGTCCCGTCCGGCTCCTCGGCGCCGTGGAAGGAGGGCTGGGCCCGGGGTCGCACACAGCCACCCCCCTGCACCCCGACTCTGCAGCAGGCACAGCACTCCGGCTGAGCCAGCCTGTGGCCAGTGGGGGAATCAGTTTCCACGTCGTACACTTAGCGACAAGGTGTCCTTAAGGCGGTGTCCTTCAAGAATAAGATTTTATCAGAAGCTGGAAGTACCCTTCCGCTAAAGTGAAGCGGGGAATTGAGGGAACAAACAAGTGGGTGGTTCCCAGCCTTCCTGAGTTCTAGCAGCCCTGCAGTCCTGTTTCCTTCTGGTTGGGGTGCTGGCTTCACACGTGGACTCTGTCCCCGACGAGCATTGCAGAGTTGTGATGACCAGCGTGGGGTCCGTGGGCACCAAGTCAGAGTGAAACCTTTGATCTCAAACTTGAATGAGCACAGGCAAGGGGAGGTGAGGATGGGTCCCCACTGTGCGCAAGGCCCTGTCTCTGGGAGCTGCCCCGCCTGCCAAGGGAGGTTCCGAGGGGACGGTGGCTCCTGCTAAGCCGGGGCTCCGCGGGGTCAAATCGAGGCCAGTGTTGTCCAGCTGCGTGTGGTTGAGCAGAGGTTCGAACCGGGTTCTGCGGCCCTGGAGCCCTTGGTCTCCCACCCGCCCCACTGCCGTACATGAGATGCTCACAGACATCACGGGTGGCACGCAGTGGCGCACGAGGGCAGACGGGGTAGCGGGCAGTAGGTGTCCAGACAGCCCCTGGGGGTGCAGTGGGAGAGGGGTCACTGGAACTCCAGCTCGGGTGAGGGTGTCACTGGATGGGACTGGTCTTCGGAGAGGACCAGTCAGGAGTGGGGGCACCTGCAGAAGGGCGTTTCGGAGGAGGAAGCAACCCAAGAAAAGTCACGGCAAGTTCTGGGTTTTTAGGGGCAGGAGAAGCAGGAGGCATAGTTGGATTAGGGTACAGGGTGTGGGGAGGCCTTCCACTCGTCTTTAAGGATGCTGAGATGCCACTGTAATAGAACGTGCCTTTCTTAGGGAGACCCCACTGATTGCACCCCATCCCTTTGAGTCACGGAGTGCAGTTGGCCCAGCGGGGCCTGTATCTCAGCTCACTCCCTTCCCACCGTCCGGGCCGCTCTCCTAACAGCCATGTGGGATGTCTGGGGCAGGAGTCCCGCCCTTTGAGGACCACGGTGACATCCTCCTGGGCAGCACAGCCCTCGCGCGCTCTGTCCCCGGCAGGGGGGGTGGTGGCCCTGTCGCTGGGGGACGCCTCGCCTGGCTGTGGGCGTGTCGGCGAGGGCGTGTCGGCGAGGGCTGGTGCTCTGGGTGCTGGGAGTGGCCGGCACATAGTCTCCTCCTGTCCTGTCCACGCCGCGATGCTGACCTGCGTCCAGGGGTGGTCGCCGGTGCTGTGTACACAGTAGGACCGAACGCCCGCCCCGTAGGGCGCTGAGTGCCGCTCGTTGGCGCCCGGGGCTGACGTCCTTGTGGTCGTTTCTGCGCCGGCTCCCGGGGCTCCTTTGCTTTGAGCGCTTTCTTCCTCCTCCGCTTGTCCACCCTGGGCTTGGCAGGCCTGGCACTCGTGGCAGTTTTAGGAAGTGGGTGAACGTTCCTTAAAGGACCAAGGGGCTTGTTAATAAGGACCTGGGGTGGCTGGGAGCAGTTTCCACTGACAGGAAGGGAGGGGACACTGCAGCTCCGAGGAGGTGGCCAGGCCACCAGCCCCTCTTTCCCAAAGGTCGGGAATGCACTTCTGTGACTCCTTTTTTTTTTAAATAAATAAATAAATTGATTGATTGATTGATTTATGGCTGCATTGGGTCTTCGTTGCTGCTGCACACGGGCTTTCTCTAGTTGTGGCGAGTGGGGGCTACTCTGCGTTGCGGTGTGTGGGCTTCTCATTGTGGTGGCTTCTTTTGATGCAGCGCACGGGCTCTAGGCACGTGGGCATCAGTAGTTGTGGCTCGCGGGCTCTAGAGTGCAGGCTCAGTGGCTGTGGTGCACGGGCTTAGCTGTTCCGCGGCATGTGGGATCTTCCCGGACCAGGGCTCGAACCCGTGTCCCCTGCGTTGCCAGGCAGATTCCTAACCACTGCGCCACCAGGGAAGCCCTGTGACTCCTTAACCAGGTGGGCAGTCACCCTGCACAGCCCCAAACAAGCAGAAAATATATTCACAGGATGCGTGTTTTTCATCCTCAGGAACAACTCAGCGGGAGCCTCATCTGAGGTTCTAAGTCGGCCGCTCGATTTCTGGGCAGTTTTTAGTTGATGGTTATTTTTAGCAATACAACTTTAATCTGGAATCTTGAAATAAGATCCTAAGTTGTCACTCCATCCCCTTCCCTTGGTCCCTGGAGGCTACATTTTTTGTCCATACGTAGGATGACTGGAACTGAAAATTTCACAGCAACCACCTGTTTTTGGAAAGTGTATTCTAGACACTTTAATATTAAATTAATATGTGAGGTTAATATTAAATATGCTAAATATCACTACTAAAATATTAATTCTAGTGACAGTAGTAAACGCATTTCAAGTTGATAATGGAATAACTCGATTTAAAATCTCAAGCTATACTTGGGGCCCACTTTGCCCAGACCAGGCTGTATTCAAAGGGCTGGATACCCAGGGTCCTGTTCTCTGTGGTCCAGAATGGCCTTTCACTCCAAGGTGGCACGGCCCTGACCCGGCCCTTCGTTAGTCTCTGTTAGTCTCATCCAGCTGGGCCCGGCGGGGGAAGGGCCGTGTCCTGGGGGCCCCTGTGAGCACTGGCTCTGGGCAGTACCGAGGCGGACGCTGAGTGCGGGTTCGTTTGTAAATTATAGGGCGCTTGCTGTCCTCAGGGATTGCCACATTGTCCTGCTGTCTGGGAACCCGGGGACAGACGAGGCAGGCCCTCCCTGGGCGGGACAGGTGAGAAAGAGCAGGTGGAGAAATCCTGTGGGCCGGAGGGTCGGTGGCCATCAGAGAATTCTCATTTCTGGGTTTGCCTTTTGATGCCGGAGGTTTCACGTAGAATTTAAGCTTATTTTCTTTGCGTCAAGTGTGTATGTTGAAGCAGCTGGCTGTACCTGAAAACAGCAGAAATAAGAAGAAAAAGCTGCCAAGATGGGGGTGGGGCACCAGGTGCCAGGATCCCTGCATCCCCGTCTGTCCTCAGTCCTGAATCTGACACGTCCACACTGCTGGGAGTTTGGTACTGAAACTTTCCCGCTCGTCCACCTGCTACCTTGCGTTGCTCTGTCCCCGGTCCCGAGCTGCAGGGTCGGGGTGATGGGTTCGTTCTGGGGAGCTAGCACTTCCCTTTCCCGAGTGGAAAGTTTCTGGGAGGTCAGAGAATGGACCGCTGCTGGGGACCCCGAAATGGCCAGGCCGGCCTCACTCGTGTGGACCCATGCCCCCCCACCGGGCAGAGCCTGACTGCAGAAGTGGGGGCCGGGTCCAGTGTCACAGGCTTTCTTCCCATCCCCCACGCCCCCACCGCAGATGTGGTCAGAGACCCCTTGAAGGAGCGAGTCCCCAGTCCTAAACCCGCCCTGCTCAGCGGTGATGACGCCAGGCCCCTGGCTCACCTTGTGGGCAGGCGAGCCCAGAACCAAAGGCCTGACTCGGCCGCATTTCCCATCACCCCAGAGGCGTGTTTGAGGGGAGCCCGGAGTTAACTAGAAGGCTTAGAAAAAGCCACGCGCCTCGGAGGAGAATTTACGAAGGGGCCGTTTTCCACGCGGATCCTGAGTCCCTTAATGCCAGAGAGTGTGGCCTAATCCCACACAGCGTTTCACCGCCTCTGAGGGCTCTGATTCACACCCCGGGTTGCAGGGGGGAGGGCGGGCGCCCCGCAGTGACTTCCCCCTTGTGGGTTCCCCTGAGCCTTCAGGACGCCTTGGCCTAAGGAGACGCGGAGGTAGAGGTGTATGGGGCCCGAGCTGCTGGGTCCAGGTGCCCCTTGGGCCGGTGGGCCCTGCGGCGGAGGGGATGTATGTCCACCTGTCGTTTGGGTATTGTGTTTGGAGCCAGCAGGTGTCTGTTCCTGGAACGCTCCAGGTGGAGGACAGAGGGCCGCCGAGGTTGGCAGTTGTGTTTTGCTCGCTTTAAAGGGCTTCTGAAGGCGCGTTTCCCTTTGAAGAAGCAGCTGCTGCTTGCCCGCCGGCCCAGCTGTGCGATTGCATAACTGCTTTGCCTCTGAGGGTGCCCCCTCCCTTGCCTTCCTTCTGCCAGTGAATTCCTTCCTTCAAGTGTAATCTTTTCCCCTGTCCATCAAGCTCCTAATGGTTTCAGGCATGGTTCTTCCCAGGCTGGCTGGGCCTTCCCGCCTGCGCCGGGGAGCGCAGGTGATGTGAGAGCCGTGGTGCCGATTCCTGAACACAGCTGCTCAGCCGGGGGTGGGGGGTGGGGGTACCGCCCCTGCCCCCGACTTTGCCAGGGTCCTGGGGGAGGGCATGCTGATAAAACGTCCCAAAGCAGCAGCCCCGGCTGCCTCACTCAGCAAGCTGCCAGCCAAGCCTGACGAGCTCCTTCCCGCCACTGCATTGCAGATCTCCGACTTCGGGCTAGCCAAGTGCAACGGGCTGTCCCACTCGCAGGACCTCAGCATGGACGGCCTTTTCGGCACCATCGCCTACCTTCCTCCTGAGCGTATCCGGGAGAAGAGCCGGCTCTTCGACACCAAGCACGACGTGTACAGGTGTGTGTCAGGCGCGCAGCCCCAGGCCGCCAGGGGCTCCGCGCCTGGATTCCTCGTGCTCTGCAGCGGGGCTTGGCCAGGGGCTCCTCCGTGCCGCCAGATAAGAGGTTCAGTCCAAAGGAAAGGGCTTTTAGGCGGAGGGTCCAGGCTACCCCAGGACTGGCTTACAAGAGGGAGTTCTCTGCTGTGAGCGCTGCTGGCCCAGGATGGAGAACGTTAGTGGTTGGTGTCAGTTAGAGCCGGTTATGCAACCGGACGGGCAGCTCCCACACCGTGAAAGCTTTGGTGTTTGTAGGATGTAGGGAACATGGGCTCTATTGCTTGTCTGCTGAGAGAACCTGCTACCTCAAGTGGTCTCTGTGTCTGTCTGCGTGTGGATTCCGGCTCCAGAATCCAGTCCCCTGTGGCCCGGAACTCACTTCCTAACGTCACTTACGCGTGACAGGAGCACAGACACCCTAGAGGCTGTTCACAGACTGGCACCGGGGATGTCTGTGCTGGAGAGCAAGCGTGAATCATTTGGCGCCTTCCCTTCCCACATGGTGAAGGTCTTAATCACGCAGACTTCTCGGAGCAGGAAAGCAGGAGGGCGGGTGCCGGCAGGCACGTAAGCCCCTCATTGTGGTTCTTGGCTCACGCGGTGACTGTCACCCTGAGCCCCGCCTTCGGGTCACGGCCACCGCCTGGAGTCCTGGCCGACTGGTTTGACCGTAGCCGCCCGTGCACGTGCTTTGTTGGACTTTGAGCAGGACGTCTGTCGGGGAGTGGTGCACAGGGCGCTGGGCACCCGCCTGTAGGGTTTGGGGAGAATAAGATTCTCTGTTTATTTCGGAGTTGAGAGTTTCAACTTTTGAATTTGTAGATTTCAGTTACTTTTCAATGGGGACTTCTTGCCTTTCAGTAAACAGCTGCCCTTAACCCAGTGCAGGCTGGTAGCTCAGTGCTTGGACTTCTGATTCTGTTTTTATTTTTTTTTAATTTTACCAGATTGAGCTCTTTCGGGGTATATCCAGAGTAATCATATATATATAATTAATATATAAATGATATAAAGGTAACACACACACACACACACATATATATATTACACACAAGTGTATATAATTTCTAACAACCAAAAAGGGCTCTGGGAGGTTCAGCCGGTGCCCCCGCATCTTTTCCACGCCCTCAGATGACGTCAGTGGGCTCGAGACGCCCAGAGCTGTCGTCGGTATTTTGAGGCCCAGCGTTTGCAGGAAGATGGTGTGAGAGAAGCAGACTCCGCCGTTCTCCCCTCGAGCTGGCGGTCCAGGAACAGGCTGGCGGTCCCTTCGGGAACCCCTCCTGCCGTTGGGACTGACGGTTCAGTGGATGGAGTTTTGTCTGTTTTCTGACATTTGAGCTTTCCACATGCCTTGTTCCACAGTAAGAGTATTTGCCCATTTAAAAAACTGCATGAAAGATCCCTTGGTGTCCCCTCTCTGTCTCGGAGTCTCTCGAAGGCTCTGGGTGGACTTCCTCAAGCTCGTCGCTGTGTTTGAGGCTCCGGCACACAGACACTGACGCGCCTCTTCCCTTCCAGCTTCGCCATCGTGATCTGGGGCGTGCTCACGCAGAAGAAGCCGTTTGCGGGTGAGTGGACATGTCTAGGGGTGATGCAGCTGCCTCTCCCCGAGCAGTGGAGGGCGTGCTCTGTGGTCCTTTCTCTGTGTCGGAAGTGCCTGCGGATCACAGTCGGGGCCGCTCTGGGCCGTGGTGCTGGCGGGCCGTCTGGTGGGGAGCAGGGCTGCCTTGTCCTCCCCAGCAGGTCCGCACAGAGACCCACGGCCCACCTCATCGCAGGCTTTCATATATGCCGACTAGGCGCGCTGCCGTGCAGCTCACATACGGGGAAAGGCACCGTTCTGATGGGGTCTGTTCAGTGACTCTTGTTAGGTACTAGCTCATTGTTTTGTGTGTGTGCTATAATACACGTAACATAAAATGTATCATTTTAACCATTTAAACTGTACATTGTGGCATTAAGTGCATTCACAGTGCTGTATAGTCACCACCGTCCGGTTCTAGAACATTCCATCACCCCAAAAGGAAACCCCGGGCTGCTTAGGCAGTCACTCCCTTCCCCGCACCCCAGCCCCTGTTGACCACTGATCTACTTTCTGTCTCTGTAGGTTTGTCCGTTGTAGTGATTTCCAGATACATATTTTTTTAATTTTCTAATTTTTGATCGTAAAACACACATCACTTAAAAATGACCATCTGAACCGTTTTGAAGTGTACAGTTTGGTCACGTGAGGTGTCTTCCCATTGTGGGGCAACCAGCCTCCAGAATCATTGGGTGGATGCTCCCCGGGTCAGCACACCCGGCCCGAGGGCTGTGGGTTTCCTGCCCCTGCCACGCACCCACCCTGCTGATTTCCGGCCCCGAGGTTTCAGTACCTTGACTCGGTTTATTGGAAAAGTCAAGTACCTGGGCTACGCACTCTTTTCTGGTCTGACCAAAAAGATCTAAGAACGCAGATCAGAGTCAGCACGTGGCCCCCAGGTCTTTTGCAGGGTTTTGTCTGTGCGTCGTTACCCTGTCTCCCTGCCATCTCCTCCTCTGGAGGTCCGTGGTCTGGATTCTTTTCAGCGTGGCCAGGTGGCACTGTCGCTCGGGCCGCCGGGGGCCTGCGCTTTGGGGTAGAAATTCAGGAGGACGTTTTTGTCACTGCAGGGCAGTTTGGGCCACTTGGGGCTGGGCGATGTGACTCCGTGACTTTCAGCGTTCTTCCCTTTGGTGGGCGTGGGCCCCTTTGGAACCGATCTCGTTCCATGTTTTTCTCCTTTGAACTTGGTTTTCCTTTGAGGTTCGATGCCCAAAAAGACCTGCTCTGTGATACAAGGCAGTGATTCCATTTGGTAGATCACAGATAGTTTCTAAAACCTGGAAAACAGAGGACAGATGTGCCCTGCAAGGTGAAGGATTAAAGAATGCTCTGTGCTTTGAAAAGGAAATACCGTGTCTCCTGGGTGGTTGGTGGTGACGTGCCCCACACTTTCCCACGGTTGTCACTCCTCCCGAAGATAAGAAATCCTGCCTCAGCCCCACGGAGCTGCCCTGACCTGTGCACCTGCCCTTTGCAGATGAGAAGAACATCCTGCACATCATGGTGAAAGTGGTGAAGGGCCACCGCCCCGAGCTGCCACCTGTCTGCAGACCCAGACCTCGCGCCTGCGAGAATCTTCTGCGCCTCATGCAGAGGTGCTGGCACGGGGACCCCCGGGAGCGGCCCAGCTTCCAAGGTGAGTGCCCCCAGAGGGTGCCCGGAGTATTGCTGCTCGAGGGTCGCGCCGCTGTCCCAGGGGACGGAGTCGACGGCCGGGACAGGGGAGGCTGTCCGGAGACAGGAGCGCCAGGGCGAGCCCGGCACCCGCAGGCTGTGCCCGCCTGTGGCCCCTGCCTGTGACGGGGGCGAGGAGGCTGGAGCCACGTGGTCAGCTCCAGCTGTCCACCCCCGGCTGTGGCCCGCTGCCCTCAGCAGCCTCCTCTTGGTGTTGCAGGTTCAGATGCAGCAATGCATCTTTTAGGGACGATGCGACCGCTGGCCTGCGGCTTTCTTTGCATTTCTCATGGCGCCTTGTCCCTGGGGAACGGCTGTGTCCTTTGGTTAGGAGAGTGATCCTGACGCACTTGAAATTGATCACGACGTTTAAAACGTATGGGGAAACCAGCGTGAATGCGGTGGGAGCCTCTCGCCAGGAGCTGGCAGCCGGGCCGTCGGGGTACGCGCTCCGGCGGGTCTGGCTTCTTGGGGAAACGGGGCCTCGGTGGCTCCTGCTTGGAGTCTGGCCAGACCCTGCATGTGGTTGCCGATGGGGACCCCTGCGGGGTTGCCATGAGCTTGGCCGGGGCCAGCAGCCTGGGAGGCCACAGTGCTGACCGGTCAAGAGGCTGGACCCTGCAGGTGCTGCCTCTTCTGTCCCAGCCTGAGGTCACACGTTTAACTAGAGCATTTGTGTGAGTCAGTGTGGAGGCGATATACCCTTTTGTGTTTTGTCCCCCAAAGAAATCACCTCTGAAACCGAGGACCTGTGCGAAAAACCTGACGATGAGGTGAAAGAGACAACTCCAGACCCGGATGTGAGAAACCCACCTGAGGCCGAGGCCGAGGTAATGGGGACCCTCCCGGGGGCCTGGTTTCCCCTAACTTGGCTTCGGGGGTTGAATCTCTCTTTTCTGCAAATGCCCTGCCAGCCTGGACCACTCGCGCCCTGTTCTGAGGCTTGGGCCGTCCCCCTGCCCCTGGCTGCTCGGCCTCGAGCTTGCTGCCTTGGCGAGCTGGTCTCGGAAGCCTGCAGGCCAGACTGGGGAGGGGGTCTGGGCTCTGGGGGTCTGGGGGTCTTTTTGCACCTGGAGGCTGGGGATCTGTCCACTTTCTAACTGCCTATGAACGTTTTGTTTTATGAGTGCCACACAGGTTAGGTGAGATGTGATCAATTCTAACTACGCGAACTAAATAAATACCTTTCGTGGAGCCTGCTAAACTAACCTTATCGGGTGATATCTGGTGTTATCACCCCAGGCTGTGCTGTGAGGCCGGGAGATAAGTAAGCATTGATGGTGTGTCTGCTGTCTGAGCAGGAAGGGGCGTGTGCGTGAGGGCAGAGGGCAGAGGGGCAGGGCAGGGGACCCGGTCCCCAACACCCCCACAAGGGGAAGAAAGGCCCAGCGCGTGGTGTGACTCGGTGCGCCAGGCCACCAGTTCCCGAGGAGAGGGAAGATTTGGGGACAGGTGGGCGGGAACCGGGAGGAATCACGAGTCACCTGCAGATTCTAACCCCTCGGCACAACCTGCGTTTCTCGCGGCCGGGCAGGAGGGGGCCCTCGGAAGGGCCCGTTAGGATGGGTTGGGGTGGACTGCCGTGCTGTCCCTGTAGCTCGGCCCCTGCCCCCCACCCTTGTACACACGCGGCCCCCCAGCTAGACTCGCACAGCTCCGGGGAGGGTGGCGGGTTGTTAGGACCCCAGCCCATCTCCTTCCTCCGTTTCGTATCAGCGCTGACCTGTCCTGGGTGGACACGGCCAGCACACAGGCTTCACCTCCTGCAGCTTATTCACGTCTTGTCCGGATAACTCAGGGCCACGCCACTGCGCAGATGGGGCCCAGCATGGTGACGGGCATTCCGTCCCCGTCGTTGTCTTTTCTTACCTTGTCCTCCCGCCGGGTGGACCCAGCGCAGGGTCTCTGGGCCCCTAGAACCATGGTAACGGGAGTTAAATTCCCTGCATGGCTCACGGGGGACCCACGTGTTCCCCACCTCCTCCGCCCGCCCCGTCAGGTCACGATGGAGCCTCATCCCCGCTGTGTGCTGTCTCTGCAGGCGCCCGTGGCCACCCCGCTCAAGCGAGCCTCTGCCCCGACCTTTGACAACGACCACAGCCTCTCCGAGCTGCTGTCCCAGCTAGACTCGGGCATCTCCCAGACCCTCGAGGGCCCGGAAGAGCTCGGCCGCAGCTCCTCCGCGTGCAAACTTCCGTCGGCGAGCAGCGGCAAGAGGCTGTCGGGGGTGTCCTCGGTGGATTCTGCCTTCTCCTCCAGAGGGTCGCTGTCCTTGTCCTTCGAGCGGGAGTCTTCAGCGGGCGGTGAGTGGAGGGCCCATCCCTGGGAAATAATGCGCTTAACTGGGGGCCGGGGGGGCCGGGCAGAGAGTGAGCAACTGAACGGGCTTCCTGACCTCACGGTAGCTGTCCTGTGTTTTCTGCAGCCCTTCACTGATTGGGTTTGGGCGTCAGTGCAAATGCAGAGATGCACGTGGGCCGAGCAGGTGTCACTTAGATGTAAGAGGGGTGAGTCACACCCCTGGCTGTGCGGGTGGGTCTCACCCGTGCCAGCCCGGCACGCAGGGGCTGACCTCCGGTTTGCAGGTTGAAGAACTCGAGCTGCATCAGGGAGCCCAGTGGATGTATGGAACCCCTCTCCCTGGAGACCTCTCTCTCTTGTAATGTCAGCCCTGTACCCCCTTTCCCAGACGGTGAGGGGAAAACACCCGCATTCCTTCTTATTCGTGCACTCCCATCTACCATAGCCGTGCATGTTGATGGGCAAGCTGTCCTTGGAGGTTGTGACTCCCTGGTCCTGTTTATATGCCTTGGGTTTTCTGTCTAGAAGGTGCTTTCCCCTGCCCCTGCCCTGTCCCAGGTGCTGGCCCTCGGGTGGGGGCCTGGTGCCAACTACAGCCCCCTCGTTGCTGCCGGTGAGGATGACGTATGAGGTTTCCTTTCCGTGAGGAAAATATGCCTGCTCACGCTTAGGGCTACAGTGCAGGGGTGGCCAGAGGGGCGCGGGAAGGGTACAGACCCCAGGAGGAAGGGGAACTTGTTTTTCCTGGGGAATCGGGGAGTTCCTCCTGGAATGAGGACTTTTCCTAGATGCCGTGGACCTCCTGGAATTTTTAGAGTGGAATATTTGGGATGAAAGGGGGCACTTAGGGTTGAGGAAACTCCTTACAGAGGCGCAGAGGTGGGGAAGGCCTGGCTGGACTGGAGGTTAGCAGCCAGCGATGAGGCTGAAGAGAAAGAAGCACCCGTCTCCCACGGAGAAAGATGTGGAACTTTCTCTCGGGGCCTGCTACCCTCAAGTGACGTCTTCATGCTTGGAGAGGACCAGTCACTGGCCCATCTCAGAAGCAGTGTTAAAACACTAAGTCCCCATTGGGCTGATTCCATTTTCTTAATACACCCCATGCCCCCTCCTCCAACGCAGGGCCCCTTGAAAATGTTTCATGTGAGGGCGTCTCGTTTCATTTAAATCGGAACCCGACAATGTAATAGGATTTTTATGTTAAATTTAACCTTTACATCGTGAATAACAGTCCTTCTAAAATGGGAGACTCAGTCCTTTAAGGAGTATTCTAGAAAGCGTCCTTCATGATATTGCTGAGACAAGAGGCATCATTTGGAGGTTGGGCTGGGAGCAGGTGGTGGGCCCTGGAGGACTGGCCTGGGCTAGGAGCTGCCAGCTCTCCAGTGGGTTGGGGGCTGCTGCCTGGTCTGTGCTGCCGTTTCTGAGTACCAGCTGGGGCCTGAGTTTTACATCCCTTATCTAATCGCGACCCTACCGGATGGGTAGAATGATTTTTACTTTGTACATCGACGGAAAAGCACTTTGGAGACATTCGTTGCCCTGCCCGAGGTCTCCCCACTCGATCTTAAATTAAACCAGCATGGACAGCACAGCACTTAAGCGATTTCAGATAAAAAGTGGCCTGGAGGCCACGGGGAGTTGGGGGCCATGTAGAAAACACTGGCCGGGCCCGGGGAGGCAGCCCCACGTGACCCCTGCACCTGCTCTCCCCGCAGATCTCGGTGCCACTGACATCCAGAAGAAGAAGCTCGTGGATGCCATCGTGAACGGGGACACCAGCAGGCTGATGAAGATCCTGCAGCCCCAGGACGTCGACCTGGTTCTGGATGGCGGCGCCAGCCTGCTGCACCTGGCCGTGCAGGCTGGGCAGGAAGACTGCGTCAAGTGGCTGCTGCTTAACAACGCCAACCCCAATCTCACCAACAGGAAGGGCTCCACCCCCCTCCACGTGGCCGTGGAGAAGAGGGTGCGGGGCGTCGTGGAGCTCCTGCTGGCCCGGAAGATCAGCGTCAATGCCGCGGACGAGGACCAGTGGACGGCCCTGCACTTCGCGGCCCAGAACGGGGACGAGGGCAGCACGCGGCTGCTGCTGGAGAAGAACGCCTCCATGCACGAGGCAGACTGCGAGGGCCGGACGCCCATGCACGTGGCCTGCCAGCACGGCCAGGAGAGCATTGTGCGTATCCTGCTGCGCCACGGCGTGGACGCCGGCCTGCCGGGGAAGGACGCCTGGGTGCCGCTGCACTACGCCGCCTGGCAGGGCCACCTGCCCATCGTCAAGCTGCTGGCCAAGCAGCCGGGGGTGAGCGTGGACGCCCAGACGCTGGATGGGAGGACGCCCCTGCACCTGGCCGCCCAGCGCGGGCACTACCGCGTGGCCCGCGTCCTCATCGACCTGCACTCCGACGTCAACGTCTGCGGCCTGCTGGCGCAGACGCCCCTGCACGTGGCCGCGGAGACGGGGCACACGAGCACCGCCAGGTTGCTCCTGCACCGGGGCGCCCGCAGGGAGGCCGTGACGGCTGAGGGCTGCACCGCACTGCACCTGGCCGCCCGCGGTGGGCACCTGGCGACCGTCAGGCTGCTGGTGGAGGAGCGGGCCGACGTGCTGGCCCGGGGGCCCCGCCACCAGACGGCGCTGCACCTGGCCGCCGCCGGCGGGCACTCGGAGGTGGTGGCGGAGCTAGTCAGCGCCGACGTGCGTGACCTGTCTGACGAGCAGGGGCTCAGCGCACTGCACCTGGCCGCCCGGGGCCGGCACGCCAAGACGGTGGAGACGCTGCTCAGACACGGGGCCCACGTCAACCTGCAGAGCCTCAAGTTCCAGGGCGGCCCCGGCCCCTCCACCGCGCTCCTCCGGCGAAGCAAGACCTAGCCTGCCGCCCCCGGAGACGGGGCCCCTGCGGGGTTCCTGTCCCCGCACCGTGCTCCGCTCGCCCCGTCTGCGGCCTGCGGGATGCCTTCGAGAGGCGGGTGGCCGCCGACTTGGGATTCGCGCCGGCATCTGCTTGGGCATCGCCTGCGCACCCCCCCGGCGAGGCTGGTCAGGGTGTGCGTGACCACTGCCCACGGGTGCGCCCGGCGTCGGAGGGACGGGGGGTCGGAGGCATTTGGCTGCACCCCCCGCTCCTGCCGTCGGTCCCTCGGTGACAGGGCCGTGAGCCCCCCCACCCCGTCGTGAGTGGAGCCACCTGTGGCTGGGAAGTTGGTGTGCAGGAAGAGCTGCGTCTTTTCTCTCCATTTGCAGCGGCAGGCAAAGAAGCCTGTTCCAGAAGGCTTTCGTGGAATTCTTGTTCTCCGGAAGAATACCTTTCATAGACGAACAGTGTCAGCTGTCGCTTTAGATCCGTGAAAAACTTCCATCTCATTGGATCGTCTGCCTTCTGCGCAACGAGTGTGAACTGGTGGTTGGTTTTTGAAGCAAAAACGGTCATCTCACCGGCCCTTTCATACCCAGATTTGTCCGTCACTCAGTCCTCGTGGGTGGCCACACACGTGTGCCGTGAGTGCTACCTGCCCTAATTCATGTCTCGTTGCAGAAAATGTTTGAACTTTAGAGTCAAGTGTCTAAAAGTCAAGAAAAATTCACTGACGGCCTCAGTTTCGGACTCAGAACAGTGTTAGCGAGTTAGACGCACCACCTTCCTCACCGTTTTCAGCCGTCAGCCTCGGCCGGGTAGCGGTTTGTGCTGAGTGATGCTGTTTTAGGGTCTCCAAGGGGGTTTCTGACCTGCCTTACAAACGGCTACTCTTTGCAGGGGCCTCAGCTTTTGGGGTGTGACCCCCCAAGTCAGCTCCAGGAGACAGCCTCACGGTCTTGGATGTAAAAACCCCGTTCTCTTGTTGTCACCTGTGTCCCACATGCACCCGCCCCCCAATACTATGATTAGAGTCAGTTTGCTGCAGGCCCCGACCCTGTATGCAAACATGCCCTTTGGACTGGTGTATGAAACAGAGATTGATGTTAACGTACCATGTATGTTAATGTGAATCTGTGGGCAGGATACTTCTTTTCTGTGACAGGAAATATCCGGGCTGCTTAGAACTGGCTATGTTTTAATATGCCTTGTGCTTTGAGTGTGTTGTGCTACTGTTGTATGTAGAACACGTGGAAGAAGAAGCTTCTGTTTGATGTCAATAAAGCTAAGTTCTCTTCCGACCTTTTTGAAACCGATGAGCCTACATTTTCATATACATGAGCTCGAGTAATCTGATTTCTGAAAAGCAGATCTGAGGCAGTCCCATGTGGGGTGGAGATGCCCTTTGGAAGGGCAATCTGTGTGCCCCGAATTTACCCGTGATCTGGGGGGGATGGAAGAGGTGGAAGGGTGGACCCGGGCTTCCTGCCTCCTTAGCCCGGGACCTTCCTCCTGCATGTGTGAACCGTTAGGGAAGAAGCTCCCAACACCAGAGTTTTTATTTCTTTGTAAGTTTTTTTTTTTTTTTTTTTGGCCATGCCCTATGGCATGCGGGGTCTTAGTTCCCCGACCAGGGATTGAACCCACGCTTCCTGCGGTGGAAGCATGGAATCCTAACCACTGGACCGTCAGGGAATTCCTCTTAACTTTACATTTTGAAAGAATTTTAAAATATAGAAAAGTTGTAAGAATAGCACATAGAACCCTGGTGTCCCCTTCGTAGATTTTCCATTTGTTTACGTTTAATTCTCTTGCCTCGTCATTCCCTTTTCTTCCGGATCTACCCACCCATCCATCCCCCAACCCCCTCATCCATTCATCTCTTCGTCCCCCGTGCACTTATCCATCCATGCATTCGCCCCATCCATCTCCCCATCCACCTGTCCATCTGTCCATCCATCCATCTGTCTGAGTAGGTTGCAGAAAATATGCCTCATGACCCCTAAGTACTTCAGTGTGTATTTCCTAAAAACAAGGACTGTAGCCACTACGTAGCCACAGTGTATCTATCAGAAGCAAGAAATGAACATTGATACGATGCCATCATCTAATCTACAAATCCTTTTCAAGGATTTACTGACTGTCCCCAGAGTGTCCTTTATAGGAAAGCAACCAGCCAGCCACAGTATCAGGGCTCCGTTCCATCCTGGCCCAGGATCTCGCTGTGTTGCGTTGTTAAAAGACTCTTCAGGCTTCAGCCCTCGTTTCTCAGTGTCGTCTTTCATGACCTTGCCTTCAGGGAGGTACAGCCAGTAATTTCGTGGACTGCCCTCAGCGTAGGTTTGTCTTAGTTCTCTTCTGGATTTGACCTAGGCTAAGCATTTTTTTTTTTTTAACATCTTTATGGGAGTATAACTGCTTTACAGTGGTGGCTAAGCACTTTTGGCAGAAATACCACAGACGTGACACCGTGTATGAAATATAGCTTACCTTTTAATTTTTTTATTTGTATCATGTGCTCACGAATTCCTATTTGAACGCTTATTATCCTTTATTTTGATGTTGGAATTATCCCTGATTTGGCCAGTTCCGCACTGGCTCTCGCGTCCCTTTGATGCCTCCCCATCAGTCGCTGAGCACTTCCTGCTTTCTGACACGATGAGGTGGTCCAGGCACATGCTGTACTTCCTTCACCCCAGCCTCAGAAGCAGCCATTTCTCCAAGGAAACCAGTTTCCTTCGGTGAAGAATGGTATTTCGAAGCCGAGATCTGAGCGTTAGATGCGCTCATTGTTCCTGGAGTGCCACTGCCTCTCGTCCCTCAGGAGACAGATCTGGGAAAAGCGTGTGTGTGTAACTTTCATGTATACACACATACGTGTCCCCATGTCTTCTTGAGAACGATGATTTCACATCGATGCCTTCAATTACAGCCCGACACCCCAGGGTGTATTCCAGCTTCTCCGTACTTGTATCTGCTTCCTCTGACAGTGAGGAGGTTGGTCCCCATCGTCCTCAGTACATTGTGCCCATTCGCCCCGTCCCCATGCGTGTAACGAATCTGCCTGCTGTGCTGGCTGCCCCCTCAGCCTCTGTCCCTTCTCGCCGCCTGAGCCAGCAGGTCCCTCCCTGCCTGTGCCCAGCAGTGCGCCAGCTGAGAGCTCCCTGGTCCGTGGAACGAGGATTCTTTTAAAAATCCTTTTGCGCCAGGAGTCGAGACGCAGGGACCTTCACTTACTAAGCCTCTGCCGTTTGGCTTAAGTTTCCTTTTCTTCCGCTGTGTACCTTCTTCACTTCCCTTCCTGTCCTCAGATAGTTTAACAACATTACATTTTTCCTTCTTTGCTTCCCATAGAAGTCGGGCCTTTCCGCCATTTTTCTCTGATCCCTATTTCACGCTTTTTCATTTAGGAGCATCTTCTGGTTTGAGGACGGCATGAATTTTTCTTAGATTTTCTGCTCTAGAAAAAAAAAAAAGCCTCTTTGTTCTTGGGAGGAAACAAGAGTGAGTCTTTTTTTTTTTTTTTTGCGGTACGCGGGCCTCTCACTGTCGTAGCCTCTCCCGTTGTGGAGCACAGGCTCCGGACGCGCAGGCTCAGCGGCCGTGGCTCACGGGCCCAGTCGCTGCGCGGCACGTGAGATCCTCCCGGACCGGGGCGGAACCTGCATCGGCAGGCGGACTCTCAACCACTTCACCACCAGGGAAGCCCCAAGAGTGCATCTTAAACTTCAGATGCTCTGCTGTTGCTCTGGGGCTGAGGGTCCCTTGGGACACCCCCAGATAGTGCCCCCTGGGGCCTGGCCCGGGGCAATATCAGAAAGACATGCCAGCCTTTTCTTCAGCAGCTCTGAGAAGTGGAGATGGTAGGTTCTGGAAGAGAAGAGGCTCTTAGCTGGAGCAAGTGGATGCCCAGGGCAGCGCCCTCCAGCACTGACATCCAGGTCCACAGATGACCCGGCTCACTGCAGAGTCCTTCCTGCAGCCTGGGAATGAGGTCAGAACCAGGGGCGACACTGCACCGAACATTCCCTTGTCACCACCCAGGACCACCCGCACGGGAACCACCCAGCACATAGGAGCAGAGGTCTCAACCCCAGCCTCGGGGACGTAGTCCCCTGGGTTCAGGTGCCGCTTGACTTTACTGCCACCATGTCACTGTTACAGACACACCTGCAGCCACACTCCAGAGCAGAGAGGTCGGACACCTGACCGTGACTGGTGTGTCCTTTCTGTTTCCACGGTTTCAGGACTCCGCGTCCAACAAGCGTTAGGACATCGTGGGCGGGTGCAGATTCCTCCTGAATCCCCGCCGGGCAGAGGGCGGCAGCCATTCAGCTCCTGGTGCGCTCCCCAGTCGGCCGCCAGCACACGTGTCTGGGTACGGAGGGCTCCCTCGGCAGACAACTGGCTTCCCACCTGAGCCCTCCTCTCCGCAGCACTGACTCGCCAAGAGTCATCACCTTCCAGGTCTCTCAACCTGGTTCCAGTTCTCCGGGGCCTTTGTCTGCTGGAGGTATTTCACTGTCTAGTATCTTGGGTGAGGCAGGCAGTGTGATTAAGGCCTCCTGTTGACACGGCAGCAGAGAGAAAGTGGACATTTGCAGACGCTGGTATTCAGCAGAGTCCTTGCCCCTAAGCTTACGCTTCGGTGGCCGGCTTATGGAAAACTTTGACTCTTGGCCCCGGACAAGTTTTCCTCCCCACTCGGCCTCCCCTCCTCCCGTCCCCTTTTTCCCTTCTCCCCTTCCTCCCACCTTCCATTCCTCCCTCCCTCCTCTCTCCTCCCATCCTTACCTCCCTCTCTTCCTCTTTCTCCTCCTCCTTTCCTTTACGATTATCCTATGAGGTCAGGGGCTCAGGATCTCCCACACAGGACCTGCACGACCTTCTCAGGTGCCGGAGCTCTAGGCATTCTGTTGTGTCCATATGCGCCAACATTGTGATCAGGGGACAGTGGCCCTGATGGTGACTGTTGAGTGAGAAGAGGCACCGGGTGGGCAGTATTCCAGGCAGTGGTGCTAGTCATAGCTTTGGGCCCCCTTGGCAAAGAAAAGTATACTGCTTCATGTGCCAGTGTCAGGCATGGCTGGATCCAGGTGTTCACAAGTGTCACCCTTCCCCGGTGTTGGTTTCGTTAAGGGGCAGGCAGACCCCTTGCAAAAAAAAAAAAAAAAAAAAAAAAAAGGCCCTGGCCTCTCCAAGCTTAAATAACCTCAGTTCGAGGATCCCAGTAGAAAGAGAACTTCTTTCCCCCAGTATCTGCCCCTTCCCAACCCCCAAATTACACATCATTCATAGAAACTTAGACACTTTTTTTTCTCCCCACATTTTAACAGCCCTGGGAGAGTAGATGGCATCTTACAATTGAAGTTGGCAGCATTTTTTTCTCTTTTGGAGGTGCTTTAGGTAATGGTACATTTTATCATTCGTGGCATCTGAGAATTGCTGTAATATGGTGGCCTCTGTGCCTGGTAGTGCCATTCCTAAGACCAGTTGTGGTAACCAGGGGAAGAGAACGTTCTCGTTGGCAGGCTGGGTCAGGCTGGGCAATCTCAGCCCGGAACATGGGGGTGGTAGTTTCCTAAAGGAAAATCAGGACACTTCTGCTGGAAAAGGTGGATTAGAGGCTGGGTAGTGACAGCTACAGGTGTCATCACACAGGGACCCCCACAGAGAGCCCTCAGAAGAGCTGGAACCACCTGGGGACCTGAGCTGCATGTGGAATGGGTGTCTGGGCATCTTCTCAGGAATCGGACAGAGGGGTCCCTGATCCAGGCCCCTCTCAGAACCCCGGGAGAAGGGCAGGGATGTCCCGGAAGGAGCACCGTCAGCCGGGCCGTGGAGACAGTACCCAGTGGCTTCCAAGACACAGTGGGTGTGTCAGAGAGCAAATCTTGGGGTCACCCACTAGATGCATCAGAAGTGGGGGAAGAGCCCCTATTCCCAGGCTCCGTGAGGTCGTCACCACCTCTGGAGGGAACAGGAGTCGTCCCTAGCTCCTGAACTTTGCCTGGAAGGGGAGGTACAGAGCCAGGACCCCTGCCCTCCCCAAGCCAAGCCGGACCTAAGAGGGTGCCCACCTGATTGAAGGGGACGAAGCCACCGAGTAACGGAAAGGCTTGTAGGAAAAATGCCCTTGCTCCGGTGACTGCCCCTGGGGGCTGCGGGAGGGAAGAGCGTTCCAGAGCCTCCCAGGTAACTGCTGTGGACCATGGTCCTGAAAGGGTTACACAAAGAGTAAGCTACCTCCCTGACTGTTGGAAAGCGCTAACATGTATAATAAAGATGTTTACACTACGAGAAGCAAGCTCGAA